GCGTTATTCTTAAGACAGACAGATGAAGGCTCCAAATTGAATAAAAAGTAAAAGAGGGTACAGCCAATTAAAGTTGGAAGTTTGATTTCAAATTTTTATCTTACGCATTTCCACTTTCAAAAGAAAAAGGCGTAGCGATAGAAAGTTCTTTTTGAGAGAAAAAGCATTAGAGCAGCAAAATATGAGAAATATAATTTTGAAAATACAAAATATAAAAATTAATTCTTGAACACTTAAACATTATAATTCGTAAAATTTTGAATTCAATAATAATTTTAGCACTATATTCTTTTTAAACAATTGCGCATTTTTATAGTTCTATTAAGATTTGATTCCAAGCTGTAAAAAGATCTTGTTTCTGGAACATTCACATCACTATTTTGATACTTCAAGGAATAACTTCCAAAAATATTTACGCACAATATCACAATTATAAACATTTTATACACCCATTAATTATTACGAATAATAATAAATCTTAAAATTTTACACCACACTAATTTTCACATTTTTAAGGAATACTATATCATTTGTAATAGCACTATTGAAATTATAATTTTGCTTTTATTATTTTACAATTTTCTTATTTTACACAAACTGGAAGACCCCACATTTTTCTCTTAGTACACATATATCCAGCTATTTGAATATAACCACGTTAACGAACTCGAACTAAATTTTCATGAGTGGTTAAGGGTTGCTTTGGCAGTAACGTATAAGCAAATTTAAAAGCTTACTCCGTTCCTTGTTTAAAGGCAACTGGCCTTTTGAACTGCACTATACATTCCATTTATAAAAAAACAATTAACGCACTCCATTTAAATATAAAAAAAAATATGAAAAAATTATAAAAGTTAACTCTGCATGGATGGAAGACAGCATGGTGACACAAGCGTCTGGAACCAGATGAGGGAGAGTTGCGACGGAGTTGACCTTTTTATACCAAATACCATTTCAGATCACATGACAGTTTAATGTACAGGGTTTTGGGTTCAGACTTCATCGGGTAAGTGCGCATCAGAATCGCAGGGAGATGTCTTAAAAATTTACAAAATCTCACATGCGTGCTGTGACATATCTGCATACTGTCCTAATTATTTTAATAAATGATATCTGATGTAATTTGAACTTATTGCTTAAAAAATGCTTAGTTTGGCGTTAGTTTTAAATAAAACTTACTAGATTTAGTGTCCATGACGCACAATTCTCTCTTCTATGTAAAAATTAGAAGCATATATGTAAAAATTAGAAGCATGACATGCATTTTATAGCAAAAGTAATGATATAATTAAATCGAAAACAAACTAAGCACCTTCTATCAAAACAAAGTAGAAATTTTGCCTAATTTTGAGTTTCACGTTTTAGAGTTTTTTCTCCAGTTTTACTTTGGATTAGTAGTCTGAAGTATAATATCTGAATTTCTTTTGTCTTTATCTCATATGACTGTTAAAAATAGTATGCTTTTTCAAAAAAAATGTTAGTAAAAAGCCAGTATAAAAATTTACCATTCGTATACTTTTACTTAAAATTACGTCAAGATTATAGCTGCGGCACTCTAAAAATGTACGTTTCTAGATCTACTAAGCCCGTGAGATATTCAATTATGTAAAACTTTTAAAAAGGCATTTTTTATCAATTTCTCATGTAACATCAAATCGTAACAAATGAAAAGCAACTTTTACTCTTTAAGCACTTTGGAAAACGAAGAAAAATTCAAACCAAAATAAATTTTTAAAAATTAAAAACTCATATTGGCATTGAACCCTAAACGTTTATAAAATTTGCTTAGATCATGGTTAATTTTTGTTGCTTATTTTTTAAACTAGGTTTATAATTATTTATTTAATTTTTAGTAATTTCTTAATCAGCATAATTTTTCCGATTAATTTTTCATTTTTCCATTTCTTTTCTCCAAAATATTAGTATTAATTCTCAGGAACATTAAAAAAATATGACAGAGAAATTCTGGAAAATTCATTTTTAAAGCTTTTCTTGCACCATCTCAGATATATTTGTACAGAAATTAGGTATTAGGTACTTTTTGGAAGCAGGCAAGATGAAAAATTAACAACGCCTTCTCCTGGAATCGAACCGCGGACCTCTGGAATACCGGCCCAGCGTGCAGAACCACTACACTACGAAGGCACGCTAGGAAGGTGGGAGATATACCCTATAATCGTTTGAAGAAACTTTTCATTTTTTAAGTTAATACTTTTGTAATGTGTACTTATGTTTATTCTGTTGAACTTCAAATTTCAGAACATTTGTAACATTTTTCATATGACAATAATGTAAAATTCTGATAGAAATTCTAAACTCCTGAAATTTAGTCAAATATCTGTACATATTTTAAAAACGTTAATAGGATATACAAATGTTATCCTGAAGTATAAAGTTGAATAAAGCTGTTAAAATTTACTGAAAGGTTTTAATGGTTCTCCATGCTTCTAACATATATGAACGAATTATGTGTCTCTGAAATTAAACAGTGTTTTTTCAGGGAATATAGTACTTTAGTATTTATACAAACTAAGTCCAAACGAAATACAGAAATAAAAATTTTTGCAGATTTAGATTAGTAGTTTTCGAAAATGCGTATGTGTATATAAAAAGAACTGGCAGAATATTTTTTTCTTTTTGTCTGGAAGGACTAATAACACCTAACATGGTTTCTGACCCAAGTCAGAGCTTTAGTGTTTCCATGGTAGATATGATTACATCGAAGATTATGGTTTAAAACAATACAAATATTCCTAAATGAATTAGGAATCAAAATGCAATTTTAAATCATGCAAAGCAAATAAGCTGCAAATAACAGAAATATTTACACAATAAAACAGTAAAGATTTAATTTAAAGTTTTCGATACAGAGCTTCCCATTTGATTGCTGAAATGAGGTAAAGACAAAATTTACCTCACATAATGGTTTTATAATATCATACATCAGAGAAAAATATTTTACGAGGCAATTTATTTAATTTATTAAAATAGTTTAGAAAGGAAATTAAAAATTCTTCTTAAATGTATTGGCATTAATAAATTAAATAAATATTTTTCTAAGCGCGTTGCTTGCGTTTATGCTAGTGCATGGGTTTTGTATTAATTTGTCTTCTTCTTTGATCAAATAAATAACTAATATGACGTTTTAGAAATGTAAGCAAATTCCTGTTATCAGAACTGATACTCAAAAGGACGAATTGCAAGACTTTATGCTAAGTAATATATTTTCTCATTTTCTTGTGTATATCATCTTAATAAACGACAATTTCATTAATTAATTAGAAAGATAATCTACTGAATTAGGAGCCTGAAATGACACCCCGCTCAAATACGAAGCTTTTTCGTATCATTTACGATTGATTTTAAGCCTAAAAAGATGATACATTAACCATATAAAGCTAGAATTTCAGCAGTCTCACATACGTTTATTGTATTCTCAAATGCCAATATTATAGTTTTGTTGTTGTTGAATTTTGTACTAGAATACACACCTTAGCATTTGTTCCATTTATGAGAAAGACGGGCATAAGCAAGTTTTGTTTCAAATTAAAAATATACTTTTTCTTGAAAAAAAAATAAAATAAATGTTTATTTTAATTTTATAAGAAAATAATAAAAATGGTCTTTAATATAAGAAGTCAAGAGTCTTCTATCAAACATCCTTGCATACGGTAACAAAATGTGGTAATAAATGTTTATATTTAAGCTGTTCTTCACTTATTGCGATTCTTGCAACTTCCGAGTTGTTCGTGCAAAGTATTTCATAATAGAACTTTATATTTGTAATCAAAATGTTTCAGAGTCTAGACTTCAATTCTTTTCAGCCCATTTGGGATCATCTGGAAAACATAATGAATTAATTTAAACTGTCCAACTTGAGAACTTGAGAAGAATTCACCACACAATAGGGAAACTACAGAAACAAATCGCTGACAACACTGTTATAATCCATACATAAAATATCAGTGAACTCATAAAAATAAAAGGAAGCCCAACACGTTATTAAAGTGATTTGTTTAAATAAACGCGACATGGTAGAAAAGAGTAAATCTCTGCCAGTCGAATCAAAAACTCAGTGAAAAAACTGAGTTCATCATAGTGCATTCTTCAAATATACACACAGTTTTCATCCATTTTAAGACCATATCAGTTATGTCAACCAAATCAGAAAAATAAGTATTGTTGCTTTCAGACGAAGATGCAGCAACTGTTGTCTGGTTTCTGACGCGAATGATAGACTTAATACCGAAATAGTGTTTCAATATCAAAGTAGTTTGAAAGCAAATCAGACTTTTACTCCTTAGTATGTGTTAGCGGATGGAAAGTAGACACAAACGTTCGTTATTGCGTTTATTAGACTGTGTGAAGAACAAGTTCGTACAATAGATATACAGGTAGTTCGGCGCTCGCAGGCGCCCTCTTGCAGGGAACAAAATCAAAATTTACATAAGGCGCAAACATGCCGCCCACCTTGAAATATTATTTCAACATTCAGTGCTTAAAATTCAGTAAATTTAAAACACAATACAGTATTGAAATCATGATATAATACTTAATTTATAATACATAAATTAAAACTCAAATTGGTAATGGACACAGTTTTGTAATATTTCTTCTGACCATGCCATCTGAAGTCTTAATAGTCACAATCCTAACAATATTATCAAGACCAGGATGTAACTGAGTAATTCTACCCATTTTCCATTTAGTTGGAGGTAAGTTATCCTCCTTTATGAGACACAAATCATTAACTTGAAGATTTTTAGTTGGCAAAAGCCATTTTGGTCTTTGTTGTAATCGACACAGATATTCTTTGTGCCAACGCTTCCAAAATTGTTGAATCATTTTTTGAATATGTTGCCATCTAGTGAGATGGGAAATTAACTTCAATGTAATTTGGTTCAGGAATGCTTGTTAATGATCTACCAATAAGAAAATGACCAGGCGTTAATGCTGATAAGTCATTTGGATCATTAGACAAACTTGTTAAAGGTCGCGAATTAAGACAAGCTTCTATTTGTGTGAGAAATGTTTTCAAATTCTTCATATGTCAATCTCGCCTCACCAGCTACTCGTTTTAAATGGTATTTTGTTGATTTTATGCCAGCTTCCCAGAGTCCACCCATATGTGGCGCACCTGGAACGTTTAGATGCCATTTAATGCCATTATCAACCAAATATCTGCTAACATTTTGGTTATAAGTTGCAGACCTAGCAGGCCCTTCAAATTCCATCAGTTTGCGTTTTGCTCCAACAAAATTGGAACCACAATCGCTATATATATCACTGCTTTTGCCTCTGCGGGAAATGAACCTCTTAAGAGCTGCAACAAAAGCATCTGCTGAAAGATCAGTCACTAATTCCAAGTGAATAGCTCTTGTCGTAAAACTAACAAATATAGCTATATATGCCTTGAATGACCTAGAGCCTCGACCCTTATTTGCTTTAATTTGAAAAGGACCTGCGTAATCCACTCCACAGCGCAAAAACGCAGGAGCAGGCGAAACCCGACTAGACGGCAAATCGCTCATCAATTGATTAGTGACAGATGCTCTAATTTTGCACCACTTTATACATTTCCTAACTAAATCTCTGATAACAGCTCTACCATTTATAATCCAATATTGTTATTGAATGCAAGATTGCATAAGTTGTGGACCTGCATGCAAAAGTCTTTCATGGTAATGTCTAACAATGAGATGAGTTAAAATGTGCTTCTTTGGAAGCAAAATTGGATGCCTAAAATCATATGCAAGGTTTGCATGTCGCAAGCGACTGCCCACCCTGAGGATACCTAAATTATCTAAAAAATGGATTTAAAGATAAAATTTTGCTTGTACCAGATAATGATTGATTTCTGCCTAAAGTGTTAATTTCATTCTTAAATTCAACACATTGCATTAATTTAATTAACACATGCATAGCTTTAGTTAATTCACTTGTTTTTAAAAATCCACTTACCTGATCTGAATTTTTACAGTTATTTACAAACCTCAGATATAATGCTACAACACGTTTAAGTTTAGTGAGAGAAGAATATTTATAAAATAAATCATGAGCGTCTGTCAAGTGACTGGCAGCAGTTGTAGACTGTAAAGCACATCTTTGCTCTGGCACAGAATCATTAAGCAGTGGTACAGATAATGCTGGCTGCATAGGAAATAAATTATACAATAAATCTGGACCACGTAGCCACAATGAAGTAACCAGTGCAGATGATGACACCACGCGTTGCAAGATCAGCAGGATTAGCATTTCCACTCACATGATGCCACTGGACAGGAGAAGATAAAGTCTGGATTTCTGCTACTTTGTTGGCGACAAAGGTCTTACATCGGCTTGCATGAGATCTTATCCAGGCTAATACAATAGTGGAATCAGTATGAAAATAAACTTGCGATATAGGAGTATTTAAAGCCCTACAGGTGAAATCCATTAATTTAGTCGACAGTAATGCTCCACAAAGTTCCAATCGGGGAAGAGATATGGTTTTTAGTGGTGCAACTCTTGTCTTGGCTATTACCAACTGAACATTGATTTGTCCAGTGTCTAACACAAAACGATAATAAATTGCAGCGGCGTAGGCCTTCTCTGAGGCGTCACAAAACCCGTGCAGTTGAAACTGGTTATCTGATTCAACCAACAAGAATCGTGAAATTTTGATACTTTTAATGGATAACATATCTTCTGTAAATTGTTTCCACTCCCATTCAATATCTGGAGGAACCTTTTCATCCCACTGCAACTGATGTTTCCACAACCTTTGCATAATCAATTTATACCGAACCGTGATCGGTGCCAACCATCCAAGAGGGTCAAAGGTCTTTTCGATTATTGAAAGTAATGTTCGTTTGGTTAAGAATTCAGGATATGATGAATTGACTTTGAATAAAAACATATCTGAAGCTGGATGCCACAGGATACCTAACGTTTTTACAGTATCATCATTGTCTACGTTCAAAACATTTGATAAGCACAAATCTGGATTAATTGAATTCAAGACTTCTTTGCTGTTAGAAGCCCATTTTCTTAGAACAAATCCTGCACGTGACAACATCTGATTCAATTGCATTTGTAATTCTATAGCTTCAGTAACTGAACAGGTTCCGGACATCAAATCATCAACGTAGAAGTCCCTAAGACATGTCTTGGAAGCCAAAGGAAAATTAGTTGCTTCATCTATGGCTAACTGCTGTAAACATCTTACCGCAAGGTACGGAGCTGATGCAGTACCGTAAGCAATCCTAGTTAATCGAAAATCCTGAATTGGTTTATAAAGTGAATCGCGCCAGACTATTCTCTGAAAGTCTGAATCTTTTAGTATAATTTGTCTGTATATTTTCTTTATATCTGCAGTTATAGCTATTCTGTGAATTCTGAAACGAATAAATAATGTTGTCAGATCAGTCTGCAACTGTGGACCAACCATCAATTTCTCATTAAGAGAAATACCGCTAGAAGATTTTGCAGAACCATCAAATACGACTCCATATTTATCACCATTTTTATCCGGAATTGAATGGTGCGGAAGGTAAAAACTAGAATTAGCTGGAACATCAATTTCATTTTCTGGAATCAATTCCATATGACCAAGTTGTTGATAGTCCTCCATAAATTTGTGATATTGACTGGAAAGAGATTTATTCTTAATAAATTGATGTTTACGTAACATCAATTCATAATAAATTGATGTTTGTAAACGATGTACAGCAACATCCCTTGATGACCCAAGTTCATTTCCCGATCTACGAAATGGAAACTTAACAACAAATCTACTTGTTGAATCACGAGAAAAATTACGCTTGAAATGATTTTCACACTCAATCTCCTCTTCTGTGTAATGCTTTATCTCCAAAATTTCTTCCAATTTCCAAAATTTTTCAAACTGGAGCTGAACATTAGTACAACTAGCATGATTAGATACAATTGTTTGTGATACGCTTTTAGTCTTTCCGATAATGGCCCAGCCGAATATTAATTTCAAGGCTGTTAACGAATGACCCGGAACAGTTAAACGTCCATGAAGCATTATCTCGCCAAATACATGTGCGCCTAAAAGAATATCTATTGGGCCAGGCTGGAAACAATTTGTATCTGCCAACCACAAATGTTTGAAAGATGTCGAAACAGATCTATCAACTTGATATTGAGGAAGGTCACACGTGATCTTGGGTATGATTAATGCATTAACTGAAATGCTTGCGTTATTATAAAATGGAGATGTTACTTGTAATTGAACTGAACCTGAAACCTTTCCAATTTTTTGCGAGCTCAGGCCATTTACACTTATGTTTGCACTAGTGCGCTTTAGCTGTAGTAAATTTACACAGTGCTCCCGAATAAATGAGCCTTGTTTACCAGAATCAATTAGCATCCTGCATTTTTGTAAATCGCCATTAATATCTTTAACATAAACAATCGCAGTAGGCAATAAAACTGCTTGCATAACAGGCACCGTGGCGTTATTGCTACTAATAGCAGAAGTTCCGTGTTCCATGGGTACATGGGTATATGACATTTTTCATCATTTGAATTTTTCGAACATAACACTGTATTATGTGGCTTCGAACAATATTTACACATGCCTGCACGACATTTAAAAATAGGATGCGTTTTACTATCTTTCAAACAATTAGCACATAATTTATTTTTTTAATAATATCCCATTTTTCTTTGATAGGGAGTTCTAAAAAGCTATCACATTTAAATAACTGAGAATGAGAATTACTCTTACAATGAACGAACACATTAGCCACAAGTTGGGACGAAAAAGCGTATCTGCTACCTGAACCGCGAGTTTTAATTTCAGAAGGCAAAACTGCCTCCTCCCTCTGGCACTTCGCCAAAGATGCAATAGCATTCGCTTTGTTTAAAATAAAACGCTTGAATTTAGCGAAAGCAGAAATTTTTTTGTTCGAATGCTCCATCATCCACTCTTTTAGTGTTTCATGATCAAGTTTTCCTTTTAACAGAAAAATAATCATAGTATCCCAATGCTCTACCGGCTGTTTAAGGATTTTTAATGTATCAATACACTGTTGTGTCGTATCAATTAATCTCCGCAAACCTGAAGCTGATTCTTGTTTTAGAACAGGCTGTGAAGTTAATTTATTTAATGCTGGATTTATTATTTCTATTTCGTTTTCATAACGTTCAGTAAGCGCTTCCCATGAATTTTCATAATTCGCGTTTGAAATTTGAACTGATTGTAGTAAAACAGCAGCTTCACCTTTCACAGAAAGCTTAAGATATTGCAATCTTTGACTGTCACTTAATCTACTATTATTTCCAACACTGGCATGAAATAAATCCCTAAATGATATCCAATCAACATAATTAGAAGTAAACACTGGCAATTCCACGCGAGGAAGTTTCAAGCCGTTTGCATTAGCATTTATTATATCTTTGCCTGAATTACTAAGTTTTCTTGATTCTTCCTTTAAAGTAATTTTTAATACATCTAATTTGGAAAATAGTTCATTCATTTCTATTTCATATTTACTAAACTCATCGTCAGAACAAGTACCAAAAATGTTATCGTTTAAACAGTTCACTTTCACACCTAATGCACCAACATCATTTTCGTATACTTCAATGGCAGAAAAAGAATTTACTTGATTTTGTAGACCATTTACTTGTGAAATTAAACGAGTCAACTTACCCTTAATGATTCGCTTTTGCTTTAAAATCGACTCCATATTCCTGCCGCTGTTTTCACAATCCAGACAAAATATAAATCCGTTTTCCTTGCACGAAATGTCCTCCTATACCAGAACGTTAAAAACTGTCTTGACACATCACCCAAAGAATTGCTCCGGCTCGACGGACCATGTTAGCGGATGGAAAGTAGACACAAACGTTCGTTATTGCGTTTATTAGACTGTGTGAAGAACAAGTTCGTACAATAGATATACAGGTAGTTCGGCGCTCGCAGGCGCCCTCTTGCAGGGAACAAAATCAAAATTTACATAAAGCGCAAACAGTATGAATCAATTCTGTTTTCTTCCTGCGAATTCCCATTTTATACTGGAAAATAAAAAATGGTAAATTAAAAGAAGAATTTCAAAGGTTGTCAGAGGTTGTGAATTAATTCCTTTATTCGAAGAAAATTTAAATTATACCTGAAAAATAGTCATTATATTAATACAGAAAAATCTCCAAAGAATTATTTAACTTTTCAATATTTGGTGATTGCTTTTGGTTTGGTTTACTTAATTATGGCAAAGCACACTAGGGCTATCTGCCTAAGGGAAAGGATGGCTTCTTGGAGAACTTTCTAAGAGAAACTGGCTCGTATACACGTTACAACATGGGGAAACCCACGAAAACGCCCATGCAGCCAGCCCGTTTGCGGGGATTCGAAGCTCGGACCGAACTACCAGTGTTCAGAGACATTACCGCTCGGCCGCTGGTGGGCCCAATATTAGTTAACGTTTAAAAATTACTTCAATCAAAGAAAATTTATTTAACATTTTTATATGTTCTTTCATTTGTATAGACTTACCAAACAACATTTGTTGACAAAATGGAAGGTAAAGATCTGGCGTGTATAATACGAAATATTAAAATACGATTTCTTTCGTTCCTTAATTTAATTCTAGTGGCATAATGCTCCGAATGTAATGTGGAAACTGAATTTAACTTATTTTAAACATAGTTAGTAGTCATTTAGTTATAAACTATACTAAATATTTCATTAATGTTATAAGATATTTCTCCCGCCTTCCTGGCTTGCCTTCGGGTTGTAGTGGTTCTGCACGCTGGGCCGATATTCCAGAGGTCCGTGGTTCGATTCCCGGCGAAGGCAACTGCTCATTTTTCCTCTCTCTCGATTCCAAAAAAATCCTAATGTATCTACATTGGCGCCCGAATTAATACGAACCAAGAAGCAGATGGCCAACGAAGAAGTATCTCCACGAGGCTCAGAAGTGGCAGACCCAATGGCGACCTCCCCGTTAGATGGATTTGGCTTCCTAATACAGACAATGAGGTCGGCAATTAAACCAACAGTATTATTCGAAAGCAAGAACTCCGTCACCTCATTTCTTTAAGCCCTTGAGAAGCACTTCCAATTGTATCCGTTACCGGAAAGACGGAAAGACAGAAAGTAGCTATTGCTTCGAGTGCCCTCCGAGGACTGGCACAAGCATGGTGGAAGGGAATTGGAAAATTTCTAATTGGTGAAGTTGGATCGCTCATCTATACATTCGAGAATTTCAAAGGATCACTCCTAAAAGCGTTCCAGATTGTTAAAGATCGTGCGAAGCTAGAAGCCGAATTATACAGCTTCTATCAGCAGAGGATTAAAGATCTAACCGAATTTATCCTGCGAAAAGTCAAGCTAGTGAATATGCTGTACGGTAGGATACCCGACAGCGAAGTCATTGAAATCATAATGCCGCGGTTATTACCCTCCTTTCAGGACTTCGTGGAAATTCGAAATCCTCAAACGCTGCAAGAATTATTCGAATTAGCGGCGGATCGGCGGATAGCAGGAAAATCAAGATTTCCGTCACAGTGATTTAATCTGCTGTTCTCCTGACAGCCAGCCGCGGAAAGAAATATATATAACTCAGGAAAACGGTTTTCACCTAAGCCGTCAACGAGCAACAGTGATGAGGATAACGTCAAAACCCGCCAGCGTACACGGAAAACAGCAGGAGGAAAAACGGCTTTAAAAAAGAATAGAGAGGTTTGAGAATTTGAGAGTTCACACCCCTTGGGCATCGAAAAATCCCTCTAAAATGTATTTAAATACTGTGGTTGCGAAAAATTCCCAGTTACCTGTAATACAGGTACTTTTAAATAATATTCCCATAGAAGCACTCGTGGATACCGAATTAAAGGGTCTTGGATGATGATTCTCCATACCCGGTATTTGGCGATTGGGTCCCTTAAAAACTCCAGTCGCCCTTAAAAGGGAGTATAAGGTATTCTCGCCTTCCGTGAGTGTTCCGCTGTGTATTCGCTGTTTCAGGCTATGCTCATTTTATCTCTGCTCAAAAACTTCTTGTCCAAGGCGCCGATTAAGGTTTTCTTAAATTTAATATGTTTCACAAACTATAATCAATCAACAAATGGACTGTATTCCTACACTTTTATTTTATTACACTTGTCAGCGATGCGAAATAATTGATACAAAATAAGCGAGCCATTCTACATGGCTGTCACAAACACAATTCTATCAATCAATTATCTTGTTGCCACACATAAAGTTCAAAACTAAAGGAAGAAAAACAAAAGGAATTTACGCTGTTTGCAACAATAAAATGAAGCAAACGATACTCACATAAACATCCTGGCCCTCGTTGAAATCCCAGGGGATTTCAACAGTTGGAGCATTTTGAAACTTCTTAGTCTGTAATAAAGATAAACATAAGAAAAATAATACAAAATATTATATGCGAAGCAGTTCATAGTTTTTTAGTCTGAATAGGAAGAGGACACAATTTCACGACTGGTCGTTTTATGACACCATGACCAGTTTTAATACTAGCAACTCTGACTCTTTGATCTGAGCCCGGATGAACAGCAATTATTCTCCCTAACCTCCATTTAAGAGGCGGAAGGTTGTCTTCTTTGATGAGGACTAAGTCATTGACTTCTAAATTGTTTTGACTTTTTTGCCATTTAGGTCTTTGTTGAAGCTGAGACAGGTATTCTCGACTCCATCTTTTCCAGAAGTGAAGTGCTGAAAAATAAACTGTCTCACATGCCATCTGTCAATGTGATTGAAGGAACTATAATTTAGGTCTGGTTCAGGTATGGCAGTTAAAGACGTTCCTATTAGGAAATGACCAGGTGTTAATGCAGTTAAATCATTTGGATCAGCCGATGTTGGACACAATGGCCTAGAGTTGAGACAAGCCTCAACCTGCGCTATCAAGGTCTGAAATTCCGGATAGGTCAGCACAGTATCACCAACAGTCCTTTTTAGATGTAATTTCATTGACTTTACTGCCGATTCCCATAGTCCACCAAAATGGGGAGATGATGGCGGGTTGAATATCCATTTTATTTCCTCTAAAGACAAAAATTTGTGAATTTCTTGATTTTGCTTACATTGCAAAAAACATTTTCTGATTTCTTTGTCTGCACCTTTAAAGTTAGTACCGCAGTCACTATAAATCTCAAATGGTTTCCCTCTTCTTGCAATAAATCGTTTCAATGCACTTAAAAATGCCTTTGTTGACAAATCTTCTACCACTTCAAGATGTACTGCCTTGATTACAAAACACACAAATAAGCATACGTAATATTTAAATGATTTTTGTCCACGTCCTGCACGATGTTTAATCATGAACGGTCCAGAAAAATCTATTCCAGTTCGATGAAATGGTCGCGATTGTGTTACTCTAGATTCCGGTAGATCAGCCATTATTTGACTTGCAGTTTTAGCTCTAAGTTTGCAACACGTGATACAAGATCTTACTACTTTTCGGATAGCAGATCTAGCAGCTATGATCCAAAATTGCTGTCTAATTAAAGATAGAAGAAGTTCCGGTGCTGCATGCAGAT